CCAGATTCTTCGCGTAGGGAGGAGCTTGTAATAAGCTCAAGCCCTGAGTTCTACGAATTTGAGAAAGTTCTCGTTGGGCGATAGAACGACGTACTTGTATAGGATGATCGGAATTTGGGTCAGCTTTTGTACATGAAAATCTTCCCTTTAAAACGACTGGCGGTGCCCTTGGAACGGTCCTCAATAGGCATGATATCCTACCGCTACTGTATATGTCAACGGCCTCTTTGCCCACTTAGGTGGTCGTTTAGAATTTATTGGTTTCGTTATTTACTTACGTCTTACACTTGATTCCAGGTCATTCGCCCACGCCACGGTCCAGCCTGGAAAACACCTTCAGTGACTCGAACTCGAACAAGGAGTGGACTCGGCCCAGTTCGAATGAAAACAAGCCTTCGATCCCTCCCAAATCGCTTAACTTGACTAAATCGAATGAGAGATTGGAGAGTCGTACGAACGAGAACTTGGAGGGAGCAGCGAGCACCGTGAGCCCCGAAAGCGATCTGTCCAAGTCATCGGAGAAGCTGAACGAGTTGAACGAGAACCGAACGCTTCGGAGAGCTAGTCATAAGCATTCAAGAACGCGCTCCGATAGCAACATTATGGAAAAGGGACAGCGCGACCAGATGTTGCGAACGCCTCCGTCTCCGAGGCATTTAAGTAAGCCAACTGAGCCTCCGCCGCCTCCTCCGGTGCTAGTGAGAAAACCCGAACCTGAGAGTACGGATTTTTAAGTTCCCAGCCTTTGTGATCTTTAGCCCTAGTGAGAAACCTTTTTGGGTATTGTTTATAGTCTGTTATATATTTGCTACCAGCAACAAAGGACTTCGACGCGACGCTCCGCCTTGCGGCAGCGTGACAATCAAGGCAACTCCACACTCCAAGTGCACAAATCCGTTCTTTATCTGGAATTGTTTGACACAAATCAATTGACGGTGATCTTTTGCATTTTTTTGACTAAGAATCGAGTATTTTATTTCGTTTACAGGCTTCTAGGTTTTAGCGCTTGTTTTGCCCAGTCGACCTCCTTGCCCGCCTGGACTGGCAAAACGAGCATTTTTTCTACCAATGAACCCACGTGTTGCCCTCTAAGTGGAGGCATTTTACTGTACGCTTTCCAGTTCCTTTGCTTTTGTAAAAAAATAGTGTTTGCTAGCCAGTACGACCGCAATATAATACAGTTTATATGCTATTACAAGAACACACAACACTTTCTATTGCTCCTTTTTATCGGCGGGTATCTCCTCAGCTACCGGCAGGGCCTTTCTGAACTTTGGGAACTGTTCCCAAGGCGCCGATAGCTCGAATTTGCGGAACTCTTGCGCCAGCTCCAGCGGCTCCACAACCACGCGCTTCTTCTCGTCATCGTACCGCACCTGTGGACATTATAAACCCGTTAGCAGGCTTTCATGCCTGGGCGGATTCAACGGACCTCAACATAGCCGCTGAGCGGAAAGTCCTTCCTGAATGGATGGCCTTCGAAGCCGTAGTCAGTCAAAATTCGCCTGAGGTCTGGATGATTGGCAAAGAAAACTCCATACATGTCCCAAATCTCACGTTCGTACCAGTTGGCCGCTTTGAAGACTTCGTCGCAAGAGTCCACGGGTGTCAGCTCGTCTGTGTAGGTTTTCACGCGAATTCGGGAATTGAAACGGAGCGACAGCAGATTGTAGATTAACTGCAAGGATTCATTCAGCTGCAATCAAATTGCATCTTGTTGCTTACCTCAAATCTGTAAGTTCTAGATGGAACGTCCATGCCAGCAATGTCAGACAGATTGGTAAACTGGCAATTGTGGTGGTCTTTGAGGAATTGCAGAACCGGCACGACCCCATCCGGGCTGATCAGCAGCTCCAGCTCATCGCCATGGGTGATTTGCGCGGTTTCCACGTACTTGGGCAGGCAATCGGCCACATACTTGCCAAAGTCCTTCAGTTGGGACCTTTGAACGGGGTCCGACTTCCGTACAGTAGCTGAAACATCGGGCGCCAACAATTTAAGGGTGCTGCTGCGGTTTGGGGCAACTTACGCCGGGTTTCCTGCGCGGCCGCAGCTGCCTCACTGCTCTGCAGTCTAGCCAGGGAGCCGCCAACTAGAAAACATTGTAAGTATATTAAATTAACCAGGATTTTCGCGTTTTAGATCGTTGTGAAAAACTTTTATTCGGCAACGGTCTAAACACTCGCAAGCATCTGCAGTTTTAGAACATGTTATGTCACCAAGTGACTTTGCTCATGTGGTCTAGAAGCTAGTTACCCGTTTTGTTGGCAGTAGGGGCCCGTAGGGCTCTGCTAAGTTGCCTTAAAATCGAAGCCATTTCCAAAGGGAGCAGTTACCTAATGCCCAATGTTATGATCATAGAACAAGGGTTATGACCATGATGGTTATGACAGTCCTATGCACAAAATATCCCCCCAGGGGGTATGTTCTGTGGAGCTATGTTGAGTGTTTCGGAGGTTCAAGGTGGCCAACTTTTCAAACGCGTTACCACAGAACATCCCCCCTTGGGGCTGGGGGGTATATTTTGTGCGCGTTACCGTACGTCAATTTTGGTATTTTTGTACGGTATTGAACGGGAAATATCATGGGACCTTGCTTTTAACCAGTGCGAAGGCTCTTTTCATGTCCTTAGCCTTCAATCTGGATTGATGGAATTCAGATTGAAAACCTTTTTTTTTTTCTGGTACGGTATTTTCCAATGGCTTGTACGGTAACATGCGTTTGAAACGTTGGTCACCCTGGTTCTTGCTTAAATGCGTCGCTTTCTTGTCAATCTTCAATCTATGGCGGCTTTTAGTGTGTTTTAGTCAGGGACTTGTCTGTTTTAGTTCAAGTTGCGTTTCGAGCCTTTTAACCGTTTAGTTTGCACTCTGATGGGCAAAATCAGCAAGCCAGGAATCGAGATAATCCCAGTTAGTGAGAGCATTTTGAAGAAACCACGTGGAGCCCCGTTGAAAATGCCGTACATGTCCGATCCCACCATTGTACCACGAGTACAGAAGGTAAACAATTCTCAATAACATTAACTGGGACGCCTGTAGGGCTCCTGTGAAACCCCCTTCGATTCAGCAATAAACCACACCAGTGAACTGGCTCACTAATCGGCGCGTTTGTTGACAATTACAGTACTTGGAGAACAACATTGAGAAAACCTATGTGGACATCAATCAAATGGCCGACGAGCTGCAGAAAAAGTACCGCGAATACGCCAAAAGGAAGCGCAGCGCCTTTAGGGCTTCGGTGAAGAAGGCCTATTCTATTGTGTTGCAGAGCTACGGCCTGGAGGACAAAGACAGCTCAGACGACGAGCTTCTGAGCGACGATAGTGATGCGGAAAGCGATGGTGAAGACAAATTCGTACGTTGGTTTGTTTTACAGTGTTTGGTTTGTTTTACAGTGTTTGTGGTCTGCAGGTCGACAACTCGATGAACAACGCCCTTGTAGGGCTGTACCAGCGCCAAGTGGCCATCAATCCCAAACTAGTCGACAATGAGCTGATCGCCATCAGCAGCGAGGACTCTCAAGACAATGCTGCCTATGTGAACAGTGTGAAGAAGAGCAATGGCGCTGCGGCGTCAACTTCCCAGAGTAGAGGAATGCTGACGCCAGGATACCTGAACAACCGAGCTAATGTAACTACAGCCCTTTGAATGCTTCGATGATTTTATTGCCATCAATTCCGCAGTTATACGAAAAACCGTCTTCTGAGCCCCCGCCCATAGAGCGGGTCAGGAAGAGAAAGCTGGACGTCACAATATCCCCGATAAAACTCGCCCCTAAAAAGAAGAAAACTGTGCCCAAAACCGCACATGATGTGGTGGTGAGTTTTAAGGACATCGGGGGCCTGGAAAAGACGCTGGAGGATCTTTGCAGGCTGCTGCTGCATATCAGGAACCCGGAACTTTACAAAAAGCTGGGTACTTCGCCCCCTAGAGGCTTCCTTCTCCACGGCCCGCCCGGATGTGGCAAAACGTTGTTGGCCAGTGCCATTGCGGGGGTGAGTCGTCCGCAACGCCCCACATGCTAAATACTCACAGTCTTTGTTAATTGGCAGGAATTGGAGGTTCAGCTGATCAAAGTGGCCGCCCCCGAACTAGTGGCGGGCATTTCAGGCGAGAGCGAGGAGCGCATCAGGGAACTGTTTGAACGGGCGTGCAATGCAGCCCCTTGTGTGCTGTTTATTGATGAAATCGACGCCATCACTCCTAACAGGCAGACTGTCCAGAAGGAGATGGAGCGGAGGATCGTGGCTCAACTCCTTAGCTGTCTGGACGGTAAATCAGCGCCATTTCAGTCAGTATTTGAACATGAATATCAAATGGCCTTTTCTAGACTTGAGTGCGGCAGAAAACGGCGAACAAGTGCTGGTGATTGGGGCCACCAATCGCCCAGACGCAATCGATCCCGCCTTGCGAAGGGCCGGCAGGTTTGACAGGGAAATCTGCCTTGGAATCCCGGATTTAAAGTCGCGCGAAGCGATTCTCAAGGTATGTTTGTCCCAGTAAAAGTTGGCATTTTTTTATACAAACTTCTTTTAGCGTATTTTGCCTCAAAAATTTTTGTCTTTAAAAAAGACAGAATTTCCTCACGTCTTTTACTACAGATTGATAAATAGTGCTGCTATTTCGCAATAAGAACGAATTATTTATCAAAAAGTACTCAAGAACTATCACCTAGAGGGTATCCTGCGACACACTTAGGCTCAAGCTGTAAGA